AGCAGCAGCAGTAGTACTGGTAGTAGTAGCAGTAACAGTAGCAGTTGTGGTGCTATGTAGTATGGGTACCAATACTACCCATACTAATACTAATTAATCACTCTTACTGTCTCGCGTTCACTATAATTAACACGAACACCGCTCCAAGCAGCCTCGAGTGCCTTTAAACCAGAGTGGCATCTATTGAACATACATGTCGTATCTAATCCACACATCATACAACATGTGCACAGCCAGAATTTCCGCCTTGTTAGATGACTGATACAGCCTACACGATGCGACAACTGATGCTGTGGCTAGCGTGTGGTTCAATTCACGATTTGCTTAAACTGCTAAAATCTTCAATTCTCAAGAGGCAGAAGTTCTGTCATTCTTGGTAGCCTTGAAACTTATCCTTGGTTCTACGAGTACATGCTGCCATGACTATTGTGGTGGCGATGGCAAGCGGGAATGATAACGACAATTCAGCACTGTCGCTATCCTCAGAAGCCTTTCCCAGAAACCACTATTCGTAGTGTTATTCGTTATGAACCCCATGGCAAAATACTAAACTATATAATTCCGTGACGAAGATCATGGCTAAACTGAATAAGTGATTCATGGCATAGTGCCGCTATCCACGTGACACTTGAACCCCTCCCTGCCTGGCGATTTCGCAGCACGGGCCAAGGAAATCTGCTCGAGCCACGTCAGGTTGGGACCTGGGAGCTGTCAGATGCGATAGAACTGGAAGAGAGCACACAGTACCGGTTACCGGTGGTCGTCGTCGTCGGGCCGTCACTGTAACCGCGTCGCCCGTCACAGCCGCCGCCGCTGTCATCGTCGTCGTCGTCGCCGGCGTCTTTGTCGTCCGTCGTCCTCCCCGTCGTCGCCGAAGTCGTCGCCGCAGTCGATACTTTCAGGCCTCAACATGGCACATCAGCATTCAGATCCCACTCAGGAAACCCACAGCTTCCATTCTGCTGTGTATGAACAGGTGAGCTGAAAACCGCTCAGGCTGTGCCACCAACAAAACTTCGGAGAATCTGCACGCGATCACATTCTTGAACCCAGAGTTGTGACTTTGTCTAGCAGAACCACATAAAGATCTCACCCACATTGTCGTTGTTTGGTTTGTATGCCACAGAAGTATCTCACGAATTTTAACTAAGTCATGGGCGGAGTGGACCAGAGAACAAGATCCCTCCGCCGGTGACTTAAGATCATTACATGGAACTAATGTACTAGCGTCACATCGTCATCGCCATCGTATTCGTCCCTTTCAGCATCGTCGTCGTCGTCTTCGAGGCACTACCACTTCCACCACCTGCTCTCTCGTCAACACGAAGTACAGACCAAGCCTCCGGCGGAAGTTTGGGGAACCGGGCATGCTTCCTGCCCCGCGAGCCACTTTGGACGTCACGCCCTTCCAGTGCTTTCCTGTGACAGTCCAGCTCAGCTCCAACACAAAAGCGACAACAAGTTTCCTCCGTTTCGTGACTCTGCGTGCACGGCACTCAACACTGCTTTTGCACCTGCCTCTCAGCTGCGTCGTGGACATTGACAGCCTCACACGAGACATGATCTGGAGCACTGTGCCGCTGCTATCTCCGTCTGAAGCCGGAAAATGCCTTGGAACCCTAGCCAACCCTGACCCCGTGACGGTCCCCGGGCATTCCAGGTCGGCGGCTTGAAGAGCATCTGCTGCCCTTCGTTGCGCAAAGGCTCGGGCCCGGCCTTGAGACAAAGGATCGAGACCCGTGCACAACCTCTGATCTATTCATGTTCACCGTGTCCACCTTGCTGTGAAATTCTTCCTTCACAACTGTACAAGCTTTGTGACGTCAACATTACGGTTCTGACAATCGCTTTTCCTACTACACTTACTTTACAAGAAAAATGCTTGGCTATCCGGGCCATCTTTGCTGCCATCGATCTCATCGTTTCACGGTACTGTACGGGGCAGACACAAAGAGTCATGCTAGGAAGGGAACCTTTCCAGAACTTGGGACGTTGGCCTAAGCTCAAGCATGACCGACCGACCAGCCAAACAACCTCACCAACCCACCTAATTACCTATAATTATAAGACCGCTCGAGGAGGTGCTGCAGGCCCTCGCGATGAGTGGACAGTGCGCCGGGCAATGCGACAGCGGTCTGTACCACAGCCGGAATCCGGCAAAGAAGATGGCTCTTGTACACCCATGTACACCCCTCTTCTGCCACTTAGGGCTATGCGGGTCAAAAGGGTCTTGAGGAGAAGTACGAGTTTGATGGTGATGATGATGATCGCTCATGCCGAAGAGGATGGATGAAGTCCCCGGTATGCCATTATTCACATGATGTGCAAATCGTGATGCTGATGCACCAGGATCTGCTGATGACTATGACCGTTGATGATGGTGGCGACTATGCTGGCAACGATGGTGCTGCAGCTGCTAGATAACGTTTGCAAAGCCGCTGAAGAATGCTGCTATTGCTCAGGGTGATAGTCATGGCGATGATGTTACTGGACCGTGATGCTGATGACGACACTAATATGTTCAAAGAGGCCGAAACAAAAATCCTACGCCAGTCAGACCAGGTCCAGGCCTCAATGCCCTGGTCCCGGATCCGCTGCAGCTGGCGGATAATCTTGGCTCGCTTCACCTTGTCCTCTGCATCCCAGCGATCCGCGAGGTCTACGATGGTGATGATGGTAGTATGGAGTGGGCCACAATCATGCTACACGTGCAGAACGGCACATACTACCCGGCCTGCTGCTACGCCTGTTTTCAGTGCATACAACTGTAATATCACCGTTAGTTTCGATATGTGTTTACCGCGCTTCGCGTTGTTAGGCCCAGCAATGCTCTGATCCCAAACTTCAGCGATCTCAACTCGTTCTTGAATCCGAAACTCCGAGCACGGAGAGCAGGAAAGACCCGGTTGCCTTCTCCAAGAAGAGAAGGTCATCGATGCTGATGCAATGACCTTAAATTTGGTTGAGGCACGAACAGGCTACACATCAGTACTCTGTGGATTTCCATGCTTCATTCAGGCATGTTAAAATATGTTGAAACATCCCCCCACCACATCATCAAATCCCAAAAAAACACAAGTGGTCTGAAACCATCTCCTCGTAGCAGATTGTACATGAGCCACCTCTGTTCTTGCCCTTCCCTGAAGCACTGTCTTCTGCTACTTTCTTGTACTACACTCTCAGTGGCTGTGCCCGGCCCTCACCCCCCAGGACCGACTGGGTGGAGGGTGCACCGTTTCGGGTTGAGGCGGCCCCACGCACTTTGCCCGAATATTGATATCCCATCTCAAGGTATGCCTTTTCGACTGCGACGGACCAGGTTCCTGGGAAGAGTCTTGTCGGAATCCAGGACCTTACTCCGACAAGCTTCCGTTCTGCTCCCGTCTTCGCGGCTAGATCAGATAACTCTGGCTCAAAGCTTCAATGTGCAATCAGGATACAGCAGGCTCGCCTAGTTGCAAAAACCTGAAGCCTCTCGCCTGCACCATATGGGTTGGCTTTCGCCTCACGCGCGGTGGAGAAAAATCAAGCTCTCGGCCACAGGGGAGGTCAGTTCCCGCGAGGGATCGAAGCCGAGGAAACCCACGACTCCATTGTTGCGAACAGGCTTGATCCGGAAGCGACAAAATAGCTATGCCGCAGCTCAAGTTTGTGGCATGGCACCGCTTTCTGCCCTCCAGCCCGATCGTGGCGCAGAATACTGCTCTTCTCGATGGAACACATGGAAGGGGTTGCCACCCATAATAGCTGCTGCAAGACTTTCTGAGGCACGTTCCCGTCACAATCAATGGGTAGAGGTTTTGGAGGAGAAGCTCCTGTCCAAAACAGCTAAACACCAACAACATACCATGATCCGTCACCTGCAGGAAGCGATGATCAAATCCTGTGAGAGGCTGACCAACATCCCAGTGACAACTCCTCTGTTCGGATGCCCTCCGGGATGGTCTCGTCGTCGAAGAACCCTAGAGCCTCCGATGAAGGTCTGCAGGCACACACACGGCACGTGAGCGAGAGGTTTATGCACGGTCTCTGAACTACCAGGCCCAACTGCAACCGACTTCCAACTGTCGATGCTGTTTCCTGTTCAAGTCCCGTGCCGTCAGGCCCTTGACGAATTCGCCCTGGCCCACGGTCCCGCTGCCCTCCAGGTCAATTTCCCTCGGCAATTGCTTTTGTTGTGTCTATAGGGCTTGGGGCGGCTTGGGGCATACAAAGCATGCTTCCGGGGATGTGTAAGACTTCTTGCTTGAAGTGAAAGAGTACAGCTAACCGCGGCTTGGATCGGAAACTCATGGGCGAGGCCAAATGTGGCTGCTCAATAAATTGCGTGCCGACGATGCTGAATCTCTCATGCCAAGACATGCCAGCCCCGCAAACCTTCCGAATCTCATTGTGAGTCTGAACCCCGCCATCACGGTGCACGGCAACTTACCACAAAACTAAACGTGAAATCTATATACTTGTAGTATTTTGCAGCAGCAACCGCACTGGCAGGAATATAACAAGCAACAGGGGTGATGATGTTGTCCAGAATGATGATGATAATGCAGACAATAACTCGAGTAATCATCGTACTCTTAATCGGCAACGGAGAGGAACATCAACAGTAGTAGTAATCGTAATCACAGTCGTCAGAGGAGTCAGAACAACAGCCAAACACAATATCAGAAGGAATAGCAATAGCAACAGCAACAACAACAACAAACCACAACCACAACCACAACCACAACCCACAACCCACAACCCACAACAACAACAACAACAACAAAACGAGAAAGGCTCTTCATTGTTCCTACCTTCTCTCTCCCGCACGCCAAGCTCCAGGCCGGAAGACTTCTGCAGGTCCTCCGCGGGTTCTTGAGCACCACTGGCTGAAAGCCTGGCGTTTGCGATGGCCAAGACAATGGCCCCCATCGTCCTCTCGTTTAGGTTGTTAGGGTTCATGAGGCTTCAAGGTTTTGGGGTTTCGGGCGTGAATAGGTTTTTTTGAGCGCACGGCTTTGAGGGTTTCTTGAATCGGTTCTGTTTCACCTCGAGAATGCCAGTTTGGGTGAACCCGAACGGGTGTGAGGATGCTGCCGCTGCATGGATTAGATTGATTAGATTACCTATTGCTCCAGCTCCCCCCTCGCAGCAGGCCAAATTTGCGGAACCTTTTCGATGCAGAGAGCAGGCGATTGACTTTTCCCGCGCTGATCTACGCTGTGACTTCCTGCCCCGCAGCAAGAGCAGGCCCAGAAAGCATGGGGGCTGCCCACCTCCAGATAAGCAGCATGCTCCGGATCTAAAGCCTGGCTCAGAGAAACTCATCAATGGCCAGGTCAAAATTTGGAGGTGTATGCCCGAACGAGTATGGCCCAATCAGCACAATGATCTTAACAGCTCCGGCAATGCAGGCAATGCAAAGTGAGGAGCATGCATTATCATTGACTTGAAAAGGTTTCGTACCAGCAGATCCACCAGCTGCCCTATTGAGCCGACAGGAGCACAAACGCCAGGGACCTCTTTTGCCGCAGGGTGTCCCATTCACAAGAGCATATCTGCACATGGACTTTGAAGAAGACTCGTGAAGCTTTGATTGAAGTGATTCCAGCACGGGGCGTGGCAAGTCTAGCAGGGAACTAGCCATCACAAGTCTAATGCCAAGAACTGCTTATGCGGCCTCCAGGTTCATGGTGCCATTCTCGTTGTACCCCAGCTCTTTCCACAGCTGAGGAATGTTGCCCTGGTGTGAGCTCAGAAACAACGATGTGCTGTGTCACGTGATGCGCCATCGATTTGAGTCTTGACCCTTGGTCGACAGGGGCCAAGCATAGGACGTGGAGGCTCGCTCTGTTGGAACCCATTGTGTGACAAACATCTCGAGTTGACGGAATGCTGCAGACAGCAGGTCCCCATCCCAAGTCTCATGACCCTTCGGTATGAACAAACACGGTGGCTATGACTGCCACAGTCATCATGACGATAATGCCAAACCCGGTCGATGCCATCATCCTCATCACGATAAGTACAACATCTAAAGACATATTAACTACTCCGACTCTGTTCTATACTTCTTAGACTGGCACAAACTCTAGCTAGCTTTGATAGGCCTGTGCAAACCTTGTGATGCCGGAACCGAGCACAGCACCCTCCAGCCGAAGCTGGCAAGGCCCGCACAGAACTCCTGCGTGGCAAGGAGTTCAATGTCTGAGCCTTGTAGGCTGGTAAGCGTGGCGAACTTTCAGGACAAAGGCAATGCCGGCAACACGATTGGAGATGTTAGCGAACAGCGTCTCGATATTGTAATGGTCCCAATGTCAATGAGTACAACAATAGTAGACAGGCAATGTACGGATCCAGTGACGCTTGCAACGCCGAAATCGATTCTTCGCATCTTCGTAGCATCACGATGAAGTGTCCTTGAAGTCCAGCTCACCGTCTCCATCAGAGTCAAAGTACGTCCGCCACGCCATGGCTATCCTGCAGAGCACTGCAGGGTGGCTGGCAGCTCCGGTGTCAAGACTTTTCAATCTCCGGATGGAGATCAAAGCCCTAGCCACAAACATTGAACGCACAGTCTGAAGAAGCTGCATCTTGGCAGGGACGGGTAGGCAGTTTGAAGCCGGTCCTAGGTACCGTCGAAAATACAACAGTACGAACACGACGTCGCCGAGGTGGTCAAGTTTGGTATCATGTAGAGATGTTATGCAAGTTTATGGACAAGGCCGTATGTCAGCTGCCGGAAAACAACATTCATGATTTGTTCTGACAACAGATTCGGCAATCCCTCCACTTCTAGCCAACTGCTAAGATTCAGATGCTCCAAAACAAATGCACTGCCACACACGAGCATACTCAAGACGGCACTCAGCACCCGGCTTTCCGGAGCCCCATTCCTGCAAGATGCTGCGGTGACGGAAGTACCCCGCTCCGGGCGTCTCAGAAATGATGCAGATGTCTTACCATCATTTTCAACTTCAACGAACGGTGCAACCCATGAGGATGTCAAAACACAGGGTCTCTTGTAAGCGCTGAGGCATGTGGTTCCGGCTCCTCCACTAATCGTGAGGAGCCCGAAACAGTTCGGGACGGAACCCGCGAAACGCTGAACACCGAAGAACACTTCTCGCAAATGGTGCTGTCCCGCATCTGCTGCAGGAAGCCCGACACCTGCATGCTCGGAGTGTACTGGGGTTCGGTGGATTCTACCCACTATCATGGGACAGCAGCCGTCACTCCACAGAAGCAGGACAGCAAAGCCCGCAGAAAGAAAGAGGTGAGACACCTCCCGTTTGGAAGTTACAAGGATTACGGCTCAACTTGCATCATCTCGTTCCCAGCATGCAGTCAACAAACCTTCTCACGCTGACAGTTGCCGCCTCATTTTGCTCCGATCTATGTCGATCTCGTAGCCTCTCCCGGACGTCCAGATATGCCTGGCTGGACTGTCAGGCAATGTCAGGCACAACATGCCTTGCGCTCGGTGCTTCAGCTGAGCCTCTTTGCCCTCGAACTGCTCGCGTGGCTCGGAAAATCGGATGAAGGCCTGGCGAGCTTCGGACGGCTGAATCGTCATGGCTTCGTTGAGGTCAGGTCTCTGATGGCGCAGGGCATATGCTCCAAGATTGCCCTTTGTATTAAGATGGATCCTTTTCAATCTTTGACCGTGAACAAGCGCAAGGTTTCTGCATAATTCTGCACAGAAACACTTCTTAAGGTCTATGGCAAACCTGCGGCATAGACGGGTTCCATACAAGACCGGAAAGTGTTCACATCATCGATTTCAGTGTTTGGGGTTCGGCAAAGTGCAGCACTTACAGTCGACATGGTCCCTGACCCTCAACTCCTGAAGGACTTCGCAAGTAGGCACTTTGATGCCTTGTCCTCGGGTCCGCTGGGTGCCTCCTGCAATCAAGCTGGAGCTATTGGGTCTGCTTTGGACTTCACATGACTGTACCAAAACGGCGAACGGCATTCCACCTAGACTTGAAGCGCATAAGGTCAAGCAGATTCGGCTACCTTGTAACTCCACCGGTCGGTTGCTGGCAACTTGTCCAAGAAAGACGTGCTTCCAACTTGACACATACCATAGTGCAATGGGGTTTCCACAATGCAAAAAAGGGTACGGGCTTTGGAGGTTGAACCCACGACACCTGTCTTTGGGATGCGTTAAGAGAGCATGTCAACTATATTACATGCTGAAACTGTCAAGTTTACACCGCATGAGAACAGGGTCCGTCCGTACATGACAAAGCCTAACTCGACAGCACAAGGTCTGATTCGGCACTGTGAACCCGGTAAGTTTCACAACTTTACAATCTTTACAACCGTACAGCTTGAGACGCTTCAGGTCAGGACTGTCGAACAAGCTGTCCCACATAAGTTAGGGCTAATCAAGCAGCACTAGAGGCACGTGCAGCAGGAAAGCCTCATCCGACAGTGACATGGTGGCCCCCTCGGAGCGTCGCATGTTGGGCCAAAAAAGCGGCATTCCTGCTAGTCCGACACAGCCGACATGAAGCCACAAAGCAAGACTAGGTTGTGAAAGCCATCCTCGTCCTGACTGCTTCACCATTTTCTGAATAAGAACTCGGGCGTGTGGCTCGCTCCCGACTCTAAACCAGTCGTCTTCCGGAGCCGGAGACTGCTGCAGAGCGATGGGACTTGTCCCCAAACAAACGAATTCTCCTATCGCGGCGCTCGGACCAACAGACATGCCTGCCATTCAAACGGTGGCGTGCCCGGGAACAGCATCAAGATGCCAGCCAGCTGGTTAGAGGCTCTAGCAGCTAGCCACTCAGCTATGCGTTTTTCAAGGCCACGTCGGGGCTTTCGTCGTCCAACTGCCAGCATTCTTAAACTCTGATGCTCCTGGTTCAAGAGAGATTTTAATTCTTTTCGAGAGCCGTGATATGTGCAATGTACCATTTCGAGGGACAGGCTCCCAGATGGAACCAGCGAAAGGCCTTAAAAAAATCCTCTGAGCCACCTGCCATGGCAATGGAGCCTGAGCTATCCTGAGCTCTTGCTGCTAGGTTGCAACTCTCCGGTCGATTGACCAGCAGCTCTAAGTGACCAACCCGCATGCTTGAGCTGACTCGTACTACGGGAACCGAAACGCACTTCACCGATGCCACTACAAGCGGGTGCCCAGAGATTTTTCTTGCAATTTAAAATTTTGAGAATTTGAATTCAAGTTTGTAAGCACAGGTCCGGCAGCTCTCCGTTGTGCGAAGAGGTACCACCGCTGTGTCAAACCATGGAAGCCCTTGCCACGAGCGCAGACCAACTGCATCAGCTTCGTGAACAAAATTGCTAGCTGCTAGCTCATCAAGTTCCCTCGAAGCTATCACAAATCTCTCAGGTGGGGTCGGCTCGAAATCAGCTGCGCGGCGGGGCTCGCAGGTGCACGAAGCAGGGTCCCAGCAATGAACGAATAAATGCTGTCATCTGCTGCAAGGTCAACTTACAGCAATGGAAACGCCGGAAGATGTTGATTGCCGACAGGACCCGCAGCGTGTTGCAGCAAAACAAAGAGTTAAGCTGTTCATCCTTTGTGAACGCTGTTATGAGTCTGCGCCATCAGGGGTGCTGGCTCCAAAGTCCGCACGGCAAACGGGGCATTTGCTGCTGTAGTCGGAACCCGACATCGACCACTGAGCGATGCAGGGCTCGCAGAAAGTGTGCCCGCAAGGTAACAGGGCTGAGGCCACGTCTGGATCTTCCATGCAAATGCAGCAGGGACCGAGCCTGGGCCTCGGACACGCACAGTCCATCTTGGCCGAGGACACGCCGGTCCGCTCGATGACCGTCTTGCAATCCGATGACTTCTTTCCCCGACGAATCCGATGCACAAAGAACTCGGGCCCGGCCGGCCCGGCCTCCGCGGTGAGCCCTTCCGTGCCTTCCCCGACCGGCAGCTGGGCCCAAATCCGAAACTCCACACATCGGCCTTTGTTTTGCGGGGTCTCTGTGCAAACTCCCTTTATCAAGAGAATCGTGAGGAGCAGGAGCTGGAACGCTGCGTAGGGCCTCGGACGACTAGGACGTGCTGAGAGCTGCGAGGCCCAGGGTTTACAGGCTCCAAGCAATGCAAGCCACGGTGCAGAACGTAAACGGCCCAGTCGGACTTCAACGCCGGGGACACGAGTAAGAAGGTGGCCGCCAACAGAAGCATCAGCTTAGCGGCGAGTATCTGTGCAGGGCCACTAGACCTCAGACCGCTTTCCCAAAAGATCACAGACATCTCGAGAAGCGGATCAGGCAAGGGTACCAGGGACTTTTACGTTTCCTCAAGTCTTCAAACCGAGATGGTTCCGAGGGGCTTGTGCAGGGAGCACACCGCACCGTTGCTCTAGGGTCGGGCCCGGGCGGTTCACTCCAGGCCAACGAGATAACCGTTACTCCAGAGCAATCATACATTCTCGTAAAAGTATAACTGAGTAGTGGTTAGTAGCAGTATGTAGTGGTGTCTAGTGGTATGCAGTGGGTATCCAGTGTTATGCAGTGATATGTGGTGGCATGTGGTGGTAGCGGGAATTTTTCTTTGTAGCAGAAATGGGAGCAGCAGCATGAAGAGGAGTACGAAGAGAAGGAGGGAGGAGGAGGAGTATTGCTGCTATTACGACGGCCACCACCATGAAAACCACGACCACTAGCCCTACTGCTGCTACTGCTGCTGCTGCTGCTACTACTACTACTTCTTCTTCTACTTCTACTACTTCTACTTCTTCTGCGCAATACTACTTGTACAACTACGACGACGACTAGTATTACTACTATGCATCTGCTCTGGTGGCCGAGGGCACCTTGTCGTAATCGAAGAGGAGGAGCTTACCTGCATCCAACCGACGCTTTGACAGCTTGGCTTTGGGCTTCGAAGGTGGGGCTCAGGTCTTAAACCTTACACCCCAATTCCTAAACCGAATTCCTGAAATCTAGCCGCTGCTTCGTAACTCCGAAAGTCCAATTTGCAGATCCCAAACCCTACTTTCGGGCTTGCGGTTATCAAAGCCTTAGGAGCCTGAACCCTAAACCCCTAAACCGGAGGAAAGGCTGGCCTATGCCGCACCGGGTGAGCATCTCTGCCACGACAGAGCCGACACCTCCAATTCCTGGGGCTGTAGGGCCTGTAGGGTTTCAAGGTTTAGGCTTTAAGTGGGTTTTGGGCGTAGTGTTTGGATTTTCTTGCTCTAGGCTTTTGCAGCTTAGCATCTACAGCATCTTGGCACGATGGTTCTTACATTTCTCTAAGTGCCAACAGTCCTTGAGACCTTCGAGATCTCGTCAAGCAGCTGGGATGCCGACCGACGATGAGCACCGCGAAGGTACGGATTTTCTCGTACTCCTCCACGACACCTCATGAATGCGCGGAAAAAAGAGTCAGCAAGTCTTACACACTTGTCCAAGGTGTATGTAGGTAGGCAGGCCGGCAGGCAAGGCAGGCAGGCAGGCAGGCAGGCAGGCAGGCAGGCAGGTAGGTAGCTATGTAGTTGTATGTGCATATATATATATGTATGTATAAATATGTATGTGTATATATATATGTATATACATATGTGTGTATATATAGAAATACACACATCATACTTATTTCTCTGCTTCACTCTGTCATTCACCTGGTTCCAAGTATGTGTCGAAAATACAAAACCCTCCCAAACCCTCCCAAACCTCAGCCTCACTATCCCGGCGTCTACAGTAAACCCGAAGCCCGAAAGCTGAAAGGGGCAAACACTGAAACTCAATACTGTGAATCGTACAACTGCACAAGAATCCGGTCCTTTCTCCAGTGCACAAACCCAACCCTCACCCCCCTGATCACCTGGCATCCTCCTGTTGCGGAAAGGCTAGGAACACTCGAGATCCGGGTGGTTCTCTCAGGCGATCTTACCTTTAGCAGATATCAATGCCTCCTCAGCTCACGGTGTGGGGTTTCGGGATTCAGGTTCTATACTATACTATACTACAACATATTTTTCTACACTATACTCGTCTATACCATGCTATACTATACTATATTATACTACGTATATTATATCTCCAAGGGGGCTCACTTATCTTATCTTCCATACTGCGGCCGCAGCACCCATTCGTTTCAGTGCCATAAGCCGACTGTACGGATTGTCCTGGCCATCTCATTCAAGCTGGAGCATGGGTAAAGGATCCCCAAACCCTGGACCCTATATAGTAAGCCCCAAAGAATTGGAAATCGGACTAAGGACTACTACTGCTGGGATTCCCTATACATTACTCTTAAGGATTGAGGCTGTTGGGTTTCCAACTTTTGGACGTATACTGCAACGCCGGGATGCGGGATACGGAGCTTCTGTCTTGGGATGAAGGCCTGAAGCTGAAAAGCCTGCCTTGTAAGCAACGGCACCCTCAGCCTACATCCTGAATCTAAACTTTAGCCGAAGCCTTCAAATCTAAGCCCATTTCGAACGCCATGCGTAGGAGTCCCGCATGACTTCTCTCAGATCTGGCGTAGCATGTCAGGGCTGAAAGTTTAGGTTACTGAGGCTCTGTATGGAGTTCAAGGTTCTATTAGGCTCAGGAACCCATGCAGATTCAGCGACATCGCAAGGGCTCTAAGCCCAAACCTCTGTTGAGCCACACCGCACTGCAACTTCCACCTCAAACCGCGAAACCCGAGACCCTAAACCTTAAGGTTCCAACAGGTCTAAGCCCTAAACCCCTAATCCCTAAACCCTAAAAGCCAAACCAAACCCTAAGCTTCAAACAAACCGTCCCAGCAAAAGCTGGCCAGTGCCTAACCCCTGGTGACTGAGCAAAGTAGGCCGGCAACTTCCAGGGAACCAGATTCTCTCTATGTGGTCCTATGCTACTAAGAGTATATCTATGATATAATTGTGATCATATTCTATTCTAGCCTGTTCTCTTCTATTCTATGCTGTATTGCATCGTAAGTGTATTCTAGTCGCACCCCGAAGCTTAAGAATCCGGAAATACTTTTCAGTTTCGGCCACAGAATTACCGTATATAGTAGTGGTAGAGGCACCAAAAAGGACGTAAGCACTAGCATTTTACAGGGATATCCGTTCCTTTCCGGGGTCTTCGTTACCAGGGGCTTGGGATAGGATATCCCAATCTTAACTGCCGCTTGTGCGACTTATGTGCTTTTTCAATCTCGAGAAAGAAGCCGTGAACTTTTAGCACGACCCTTCTGTCTCTACAACCCAGCACACAACCCTGCAGCCTCGCTTTGGAAGACATGTCGACCGAAACGCTGCACACAATTCCACAACGGCATGCTGGCAACACATCTCGTACTTCAGCACTCATGACGGCGATCCTCTCCTGGTCTGCGTCCAAGCTCTGAGCGCTGGGGTTAGGATTACAGGGTCCTTGAAAAGGAAAAATGGAACAGCATTTCGAAGCATATCGCCAGGCCCTTAACACCAGGTCATTAACTTCCTGAGCAGTCTGAACAGAATTCAGCTTGAAGTGGAAGCAGCCGGTAGGATTAAGGCTTGATGATTGCCCATAACTAAGCTCTTACCCCAGGCGCTATATCCTTGAACTTAAACCGTAAACCCCTCAACCATAAACCCCGAAACCACAAACTTTGAAGCCCAAGACGAAAACAACTAACCTCTGAGGATGTAAGCGGAGCCGAAACGGAGCTGAGGCTGAGGGCATTCAAGGTTAAACGTCTAAGGCATTCAGGGCAATGGGTTTGGGGTTTGGAGTTTGGCGGGGGTGTGATTTAGATGCTTAGCTGATAAACTAGACGGCTGAGGGTTTAGCAATAAAAGGCGGCGCAGTTCATCCTAGTGTTTTGTTAGATGCAGGGTGTCGCCTCGGGTTATGACCCCGAAGCCGGAGAGAATAACACAGGCGCGAACACACACACCCGGAACAAACTATAAAGTTCCCACCGTCGTAGTGCATGGGGCTAACCTCCCCTATAAAGCCGAAGCAAGCCTGTTGTAAGCCTTCGGCACACCCGATATCAACGGAGTTAAGCAGGCCCGCATATAGACATTAGCACAAAGGTTCCTGGAAAGAACCCATTCCAAAACAAACTAAACCCTGAACCCACCCAAATCCGCGTCCAAAATGGTCAGTGGTCATGTTGAGTTTGATGACATCCAACTTTGAGAACCCTTAAACCTTGTAAGACCCAATGGAGGATTGCCTCAACCCTAAACCCCCATAAAACTGTTGATGGACCACATCTCCAAACGATCACATGGCATTTGAAGACATCTGATCTTGAGAATTCTGAGCACTTTAAGGCCCAATGGTAGATACCTTATAAACATGTTCATGGTCGGTGGACCACATCTCGAAAGGTCCCTAGACGGAACCCGAGCCCTACAGGAGTGTCCCAAAAGGGATCCAAGCGGAGGGAACTACCGATCCGGATAAATCAAGGTGGCCCCCCCGACGTAAGCACCAAGCGCGCAGACGCTGAGCTAACAAAGGCCCAGGGCCGCTTGCGGGCCTTACGGGCTGCATGAAAGGACTTGTGGTTTGGGGTTTTGGGGTTCAGGGTTTAGGATTTAGGGTTTTAGGGTTTAGGGTTCAGGATTTAGGTCTAGGGTTTGGGTTGGCAACCGACCCCCGAGAAGTGCCAGGGTCACTTGCTTGTGTCGTCATGCCGACCCAGAGAGGTGAGACATTCCATTTAGCACTTAGCGCTTAGGGCTTCTGCTGCATTGGCTACAATGTAAATACACGGACTTCTTTTGGGTGTGGTTTCCGGCGCTCTCGGAACAAGCTTCGACTCCAACCAAGCAGTATTGAGTGGGCATGTCAGGCAGGAGCCCTCAATCGACTTGTGCTCTGAGACAGAAGGACGCGCTGGGTGGGAAGCTCCTTGTCTGCGTCCACGTCATCCTTCCTGCGTAGTTTCAAGCGCGGTTTCAAGTTATGAGTCCGGAACTCCGCAACATCAGCGAGCTCAACATCCGGAGTCGAATTCCCCAACACAAAAAGCAAGAACCAAATGCCGGAGCTGTCTCAATAGCCCTCCAGCGTTTAACATCTTCAGTTTCGTAGGTTCAAGACCTTTCAGAAAAAACCCTACGCAGATGGGCAGCTGAACGAAGCTGATAGCAGCGATCTCTGCCCCAACAGTGGGCTAAGTGCTGCAAGCACCAGAGTAGGTTGGACATCAAGGTATTGAGCTGTTCCTATTTGTCTTATTTTTAT